TTATTCGCGTACTAAATAATAAATAATTCAGGAATCTCGGGATTTTTTTTTTTTTTTTAAAATTTCACAACGGTCAAATTATACATGTTTGTATTTTCAGACATTTTATACGAAAAAAAAGTCTTTGAATGACTTGAAAAAAAAATTTTTTTATCAATATTCTCGTTCGTCCCACATTTTATTTATTTTTGTTATTTCATTCAATTAATTATTATTATTATTATTATTTTTACTTACATATTTTTAATGCAATCAAAGCCATTTACAAAATTGATATTTTTTGTCCGGAAATGACGTTTACGTGTGTTGAGTAATTTTTTTGTAAAAGGCGGTGATTAAGTTCGGTCTCGTCGTTTTTTTTTTTTTTTTTTTTTTTTTTTTTTTTGAACCTGAAATGAAAAAAAAAATTAAATTAATCATGTCTACCAACTATTCGTAAATTTGTTTTTATTTATTTATTTTCATTCCTCGGGGATTTAGCAGAAGACAAATTTTAAATATTAAATTAAATTAAAACGAAACAATTCGCGCGTTCTTTCGTTTTTAATATTATTATTACCAAAAAATACTAATTCGAGATGAGTAAAAAAACGTGATTTTAATATTATTATCTAGTGGAAAATAATAATAATAATAATAGAAGTAGTAAGAGCATTAAATCCCTTGAAACAAAGGAAAAATGGAAAGAAATAAATTTCATTTTTTTTTTTTTTTTTTTTTGAATTTTTTGACGTCTTTTAACCGGGCTTAAATTTTTTTTTTTTGTTTTAATTTGCCAAAAAAAAAAAAAAAAATTGAAATAACGACCGGGTTACATTCCCTTTTAATAATGGTGACGTCCTAAAAAAAAATTACCTCCTTTTAAAGTATAAACTTTTTTTCCTATTTTCACGGGCAATTTCTTTACCCCTGATTTAAATCAAGGAGGTATTATACGCGCGCGAAAAAAAATGGCGGATCTGTTAAATCGACCTCTGTTTGGTTATTTTTTTATTAAAACCTTTTCATTATTTTGTCGGGGCAGAAGAAAAATAAATAAATACGTCAAAGTTTTCCTTTTACGTCAGATGAGTGTGCTTAAAAAAAAAAAATTATTTACGCCGCGTAAAATATTATAGTTATTTTTTGTCGTGGCATTAGAATTTCGATTATATATAAACCGCCGACACATTTATTTATTTATTAATTATTTGTTGGAAATTAATTTTTTTTTACTTAACCTAATTATTTCAACCGAGGAATTTAACATGAATAATTATATGAAGGGAGGGGAGAACGGAGAGGGGGAAATCAATCGAGAGTTTTTTTCCATTTGCGACATTTGTTTGTTTGTTTGTTTACGCGTATTTTTCAAACGATCGCAGTTTTTTTTTTTTTAATAATTTGATTAATTTTTTAAATAAGACGAAATAATAATAAATAAGTAAATAAATAGGACATCGTTCTAAATCCTTGATCCTTATTTTTTTATTTTTCGGGATTAAAATACGATCGATTCCTTCCCCCCTCTGCCCCCTCCCTCCCTCCCCAATTTAAAAAAATATTTAATAAATTCGTGGATACACGTGCGCAAAACGCGTGGATTTTGTTTTTTTAAAATAAAAAAAGTGCGTAAATTATTAGCATTCGAATCTTTTATTACGTTTATTTTTTTTTAATCGTGTAATTAGAATTCTATTTTTTTTTTTCTGCTCCCTGTTTTGAAACCTGGATTTTTTTTTTAACTTAAAAATAAAATACTTGAAGGAAAACTCGTTTGTTTGTTTGTTTGTTAAAAAAAAACAAACAAACAAACAAATTAGTAATTTTTGTTTTTTTTCGGTTCGTTAAAATCCGTTCGGGAATTTAATTTAAATAAACAAAAGAAAATTCTAATGACACGATTTTTTTTGTTTATATTATTTATAATTAAATAATCATACCTTACGACCTTTTTTTTTTTTTTTTCTTTTAATTTTTCATCGAATTTCACCGCATTCTATATTAAGAAAACTTTTCTTTTTTTTTTTTTTTTTATTAAAATTTTAAAAAAATTTATTTAAATAAAATTGATTAGTTTATTTATCATTAAAAAAAAAAAATAAAAAAATAAAAACAACTTCGACTCACAATCACTAACTGAAATTACTAAATTAGTTTAAATAATAATAATAATAATAATAATAATAATAATAATAATAATAATAATAATAATAACATTTTGACAGGTCAGTAAAGTTAAAAGGCCAGGAGTCCAAGGGTATGGAGCGATTATCACATTCTCTACCCTTATTTAAATAAAAATTTATTTTTAAATTATTATTATTATTACGGGGGGAGGGGGAGGGGAGAAAGGAAAATTTATTTTTAGAAATTTAAATCGTGATATTAAGAAATTTTGTTTTTTTAAATTTTCGTAACCGAATAATATAATAAAAAGGCCATTTTTTTTTTCTTTGAATAGAGGAATTTTTAGTAATTTGATTTAATTCAAAAAAAAAAAAAAAATGGGGGGAGTTATAAATGGGGCCTTATTTTCTTTTTTGCTAGCATTCATAATCAAATTTTACAACGTTTGTTATTTAAAAAAAAAAAATTTAAATTTTATAATTTTATTATCATTATTTAACGAATTTCATGAGATTAAAAAAAAAAAAAAAAAAAAAATGTCTACTTGTCGTGTTTTCCAAGTGTTTCCACGGAGCCTTAGGTTTGATAACCTGTTTATTCAAAATACTTTAAATCATTGTAAAAAGCATAATTTAATTTTTTAAGGCGTTTACTCATCAACTGGGAATTTTTTTTTTTACCAAGAAAATAGGTTTTCTTTTTGTGTACATTTAATTATTAAAAATGAAACCTTTTCATACCTTGTCATACCTTTTTATACCTTTTTTTAAATATAAATTTTACGGCACTAATAAATTCATAAATAAAATGATTAATATTAAATACGAGTGTACACATTCAAATTTTTTATATATATATATATATATATATATATATATTGTTAAAACAAATCCAAAACATTTATTTTTATTATTAATAATAATAATAATAATAATAATAATAATAATGTGACGTTTGCTCATTTGAAAAATTTAATTTATTTTACCTTTAAATTTATTAAAAACTATTGATTAACAATTAAACAAACACGACAAACGCAACAGAAAAAAAAGAAAAATAATTTTTTTGTATTTATTTAAATTTGTCGTAAATGTAAAAACCTTGCAAAAATTTATTTTCTGCCATTTAAATCGATTCATATTTTTTTTCCTGGACGATCAACAATTATCATTATTATTATTTATTTTCGTTACGATTTGAAACGAATTAAAACTTGGATAATTATGCTTCATTAAAAACAAAAAAATAAATAAATAAATTTTATTATGTTATATTTAATAAATTTAAAACTTTGAACTTATCATATGTATATAAAAAAAAAAAAAATAGGCGACATCATTTTAATTACTCATACAAAAATGATTTCCAATAATTTTATTTTTTATTTATCATTATCATTATTATTATTTTTATGTGATTCGGTTCATGACTTTTAGGGTCGACATGCAAAATTTATATATATTTAAGGTCCTTGAACCTGTTTTATTTAATAATAATAATAACAAATGTTTTTTTTTTTTTTTTTTTGTTAAACAATTTATTGTGATCGTACATTATATATTAGCTCTTTTACTCATCACATAACAATTTTGCTAATTTAATTATAATTTCATTTTTTTTTTTTATTTCGAACGAACGTAATAATTATTTATATTATCATCATCATCATCATCATCATCATCATCATCATCATCATTATTATTGTATGGATTTATTATAAAGTTAAATTATTGTTTATACTATATCCACGAGGAAAAAAATTTAATAATTTATCAATGAGTGATTTCAAATTAAAAACTCTTTTCTAGTCTTGCCCTTTTTTGGGGGGGGGCGGTATGGGGTGGGGTGAGGGTGAGGGTGAGGGGGTAAACGATATCGTTTTTTACAATAACTTGTCGTTATCGAAAATAATTTTTTTGCATCGACAGAATTTTTGCTGTTGTGTCATTAAGCACAATTTATTTTCGTCGCCTCATTTAAAAAATTTAATCGTGATAAGAATTATTATTTTTAATCATTATTATTATTATTATTATTATTATTATTATTATTATTTTATCATCATCATTAGGGTCAAATTATTGTTTTTTTGTTGTTATAAAAGGAAGTTTTTTGTTTTACATTTTAAATATGCCTGAATTTTCTCTCTCTCTCTCTCTCTCTCTCTTTCTCAACTAATTTTTGTTGATAATTTTTGTTGTTGTTGTTAGGATTATTATTATTATTATTATTATTATTATTATTATTATTATTATTATTATTATTGATAGGATCGTGAAAAAACATCAGGGATTAGGATATATAATAATAATAATAAAAAGGATGTTTTTATAAAATAAGCATAATTTAAATAAAAAATATTTTTGAAATTTATTTAAAAAAAAAAACAAATAAGAAGAACTTTACATTAAAAAAAAAAAAATAAAAAAATTAATGTAAAAATAATACGTAATAGCTTCCTGTTGAAAAAAAAAAAAATTTTTTTTAATTATTAATAACAAAAAAATAGTAATAATAATAATTTTAAATTTTTTTTTTTTTTTGTTTTTTTTTTTGAGTTCTTTACATTTACGATGTTTGTTATGAAGAACTATTAGAAAACTTTTTTTTTTTTTATCATTATAATTTAGTTATGATTAATAATTATAATAATAATTAAAAATATAAAAAAAAAATTAAAATTTTTAACTGTCAATTAATTCATGTGTTCTTAAGTCCAATACTAATGATAATAATAATAATAATAAAAAGCAATTTTGTGTGAGTATTTCTCGTGCGTGAAAATGTGTGTATGTGTTGTGACAGTTTTTTATAAAAAAAATAATTTTACATGTTTAAATTTTTATTAATTTAAAAAAAAAAAAAAAAATGTTTTTTTTTTGTCAAGACTTTTAAGCTTTCTTTTCGTCTTTTTTGTCGGTTGGTGGTGGAACGGTTGGCAATTCTGGGTATTCCAATTTAACTCCCTTTTCACATTCGAAGATTGGACAACAGTCTGGGAATGGAGCAGTTTTGTTTGTTTTTTCAGAGAGTTTGCATTTTGGATTGGCTTTTGGCAATGGTCCACAGTCTTCGACCTGAAAATTAAAGAAAAAAATTATTATTATCAATTCGATTAGTATATTTGTTTAAAAAAAAACAAAAAACAAAATTTCCCTAGTCCTTTGTTTTCAAAAAAGTTAGTGTTCATTCGTTGTGAAAATAACAAATACATAATTTTTATCGTTTTACGCGCTAAAATCTTGTTTTAGAGAAGGCGGTGTTCGTTATAATTTATTCACTCGTCATTAAAATTATTTCGATTCTTTATTTAATGGTAAAATTTTATTTTGTGTTTAGTTTTTGTAATATTATTATTATTATGTTTTAAAAATATAGTAATTAAGTAAATAATTATAACCGAAGAGTTACACACTTAAATATTCGACATTAATTTCTAAATCTTAAAATAAACTCTTTGGTTATGCACCTTAGGTAAATTTTTGTGTAATTTTTGTCTTAAAATATAATTCAATCCAACTTAATGCTGTTATCATAAATGTATTTTTAAGTTATTAATAAGTTAAAACATGAATCCCCATGAAAATTATTAATTGATATATGTATATATTGTTTATAGGTACATGTCAAGCAAAACCTACAATGAAAAAATTTTCCACAGGGACAGGTCTTAATTAATACTTGCACACTTTATGTAATAGTTGTAATATGATATAATTATTTAAATTATTTTTGAAAGACATTTGATAAGTTTTGATAAAAATATTAACAATTGGTGTGTGAGTTGAAATTTAACTACTACCACTTATTCTATTATAATGATAGAGAGAGAGAGAAAGAAAATTTCAATTATAATAAATTTGACAAGGAAGACAAATTTAATAATAACAAGGACACCGGGTTGTTTTAAACAAACAACGACACATGAAAATTTATTTGTTAAAAGTCATTAAAATTTTTTTTTTTTTTAATAATTTACAAATATTTTCCTAAGGTAATTAAATTTTATTTATTTTTGAATATTTGAATAACAAAAACAACAACAACAAACAACAAACAACAAATTTAATACTGATTTGAAATTTCACTGAATTAATATTGTATTATATAAAAATTGAAATTTTTTTTTTTTTGTTTCTGTACAACAATAACAATATCATTATCATCATTTTTATTTATAATGTTTTTTTTTTTTACCGTGGATTTTCACCATTAATTTCATCTCACTCTGATTGTTTGTCATTGTTTGTTGTTGTTGTTGTTGTTGTTCCAGTTTTTATTTTTAATGATTATTCTCATTGTATATATTAAGTTAAAAATTGTTGTTGTTTTATTGTATGACCTTAATTTTGTTTTGTTTTTTAATATGATATAATTTAATATAATCTGATGATAAGATTTTGGAAAAGTTTATTCAAATGTAAATAAATCTTATCAACAGCAAGGAAAACAATTTTTCTTTTTTCAATGTGCACCCTCTCATGATAAATAAATTTTTTTTTTTTTTTTTTTTTCTATTTTAAAGGTGACGTTGCCAGAATCAACAAACTTACCAATTCCAAAAGACGTCCAGCTTGTTCTCCTTCGGCAACAACGCAAGTAGATCTACCACAGAATGGAGTCAAATCCCAGCTTTTACCTGGTTCAACAGTGGTGCATTTGGTGGAAGCAAAGCACATTCCTGGAAAGTCTGAAACCAAAAGAAAAAAAAGGAACAAATTAATAATAATAATAATAATAAGTAACCATGGTAGTCGCCACGGTTTTGTACCCAAAGGAATCAAGGTTGGATTTTACATTAGTTTACGGTATCAGGATTTTGTTATGAAGTCCGGGACACTAGGTACATTATCATTTATTTAATTGTTTTAGGTTTTGGTTCATCTCGTTTCCTTATGAAACTAACTAACAAAAGAGCCGTTATATATTTTCATAAACTTTTCTTAACGAAACATGGAAATCATTAATGGATGATTTACGAAAACGGTTTTGGTGGAAAAACGTTTGTTTTTTTTCATCCTCGTATTCATTATCATCATTATGTTAATCACGATGTTATGAATAATTCAAATTTGACCGGGATTATTAATGACTTAACGCACGGAAGATTTTACACGCCATACAAAGGTAATTAATTAATTAATTAATTATATTTAAAAAAAAGTTTTTTTTTTTTTTTCTAAAGTACGGTTTTGAAGGTTTTGCAATTAAAAGCTCATCAGGAAGTTGAAAACAAAAGCCTATTGTTTATTTTGCGCTTTTGTAATTTTTATTAATCTCTCTCTCTCTCTCTCTCCCTCTCTCTCCCTCTCTCTCCCTCTCTCTCTCTCTCTCTCTCTCTCTCTCTCTCTCTCTCTCTCTCTCTCTCTCTCTCTCTCTCTCTCTACGGAAATCTAAAAATGTTTTTGTTAAATGCTTCGCAGAACGAGAGATTTTTTTTTCCCTATTCCGGCCAAAGTCATTATATAGAAATTTAATAAATAGGGGTTGTTGTTGTTGTTTGTGTTGTTAACTACTTTCTTTTAATTATTATTCATCATCATCATTATTTTTTTTTTCACTCCCTTACAACTTAAAATTTAACTTTCACTTTTAAATAAAAAAAAAATTTCTCGAGGCGAGGAGGCAATTTCGAAAGTTAAGTTGTCACCCCTGAACTGGTTTAAACCGTGAAGAGCAAGGTTTATATATATTAATATCATTTTTCAAAAAATTTTCAATTAAATTATTATTATTATTATTATTATTATTATTATTATTATTATTATTTAACACTATTTAAATTATATTTGAGTTTATTATTGTAAATTTTTTTTTTTTTTTTTGGCACACTTGTAAATGCGTACGCTTTTGAAGGTTTTTAATTTCCGGTTTTGTTAATAGATCGTATCGAGGTTGCTATGGTTGGCCGCTGTTTTATTCATTATTTCTGTATAGCCTTCGCTTAATTATATCACTTTTTTTATGTTGTTGTTGTTGTTATGTTTTATTTTTTTTTATGTATTAAAAAGAGAGAGAGAGAGAGAGAGAAACCGTTGCTTGAATAATTTATTTTTTTTCTCTCTAGGCAATCAGCTTTTTTTTTATTTATTTATTTATTTATTAAAATCTGGTTTGACAACGGTTTCGGTATAATAAAAATATTTTATAACGTTTCTTCCCCTTCCCCCGCCTATTAAATTCGTTTAATTAATAATTTTTTTCTTTGCTAAAATTTGCAAACGCCCTAAATTAAAAAAAAAAAAATGTCTGATCAGTTAGTTTAGCATAAAATATTTTTTTTCTGGTGCCCGAAGGTTGTTTTTATTAAAAGTTTAGTTACGCAAATATAAAAAAATTTTTTTCACATAATTAATCTGGGGGGAAATAAATTTTCTCCTGTTGTCGCCATTAGTAAAAAGTAAATAAAAAAAAATTTTTTTTTTAAATGTCTTACCCCTGAGAACATCGGCTGGAATTAATCTTCTGAAAACTTTCGGCCTTTCTGTTGTTTCGGTTTCTTGTCCGAAACAAAAAGCACCAAAACCGATTAAAAACACGATTAAAAATTTCATTTTGTACTTTTTTTTTTAAATATTATACGTTATAAAGTTGTTATTATTATTATTATTATTAACCGATTTGTTGAAAAGCTTCACGGGTACTCACTCCTCTTAACCGTAGTTAGTAAGAACTTGTTTTGCGTCGTTACGATTGTTAGAAACTACTGAATCGAATCTATGATTGCGAGGTTCATATAACTATAACCACCACCACCACCACCACTACCACCACACATGACATGACAGTGATTTGTGTATATGCCTAAACTTAAAATCATCTTCCATCACGTATAAATAGAAAAAAAATGCGTTAAATGAACTCGTTATAACCGTATAAATTAATGATAACGGTCATCTTTGTACATTTCGACCCATCGTCAATATTCATTCTAGAACACAAAGGACACAAATGATCCTTTCTAACAACAAGACTTTAAATTTTCTCTCTCTCTCTCTCTCTCTGTCTATCTCTCTCTCTTTTTTTATTCTCTATGATTTCTTTTGATGGAATCTAAAAAATTTTCTTGCGAAAACCGTACGCGTAAGCGGGGGGAGGGGGAGGTGGAAAAACGTCAAATTTCTTTTATTATTTTAAATAATAATAATAATTTAAAATTTTTTTCGCTTCGCATTTATCCTTTATCATTATCATTATTATTATTATTGTTTACATATTTATAGGGTTTTTGTAATAATACAAATGTCGGAGTGAAAGTTTATAAAATTTACCTTTTACAACTTGTATTTTTCCATTGGACCCAAACGACAACTTTATACTAATTACAAATTAATATATTCACTTTTGATGATGATAATAATAATATATTCGATTCCTTTCTGGTTTTGTTTTTCATTGTTATCATCATCATCATCAATACTGTTATTACTTATATAATATATATGGAATTTAAATGAAATAATCCATCGACTGCTACCACTCTTCATACGTATACGTAATTAAATAATAATAATAATGGTGATAGCAAATCGTACATAATAATTAGTTGTTAATAAGAATCTATTTCGATTTTTAATTATATTTGTTGTCTATATTATTATTATTATTATTTAAAACAAGTTTTTTTAGCTCAGGGTTCGATCAGACAACAATGTCAATTTGTTTATTACCAGATTATATAAAATTAGCTTTCTAATTTCTTTTTTTTTTTTTTTTAATCCTACTGGAAGGATTCGATATGAGGAATTTAAATTTAATTAAGGAATATGGGAAAGGTTGAATAAAAATAACCCGAAGAAAAATTATGGAATTGTGTCAAAGAGTGAGTGAGTGAGTGAGTGAGTGAGTCAGTCTCTGGAATAAAATTCCAGAACCGGTGAAACCAGATTTTTTTGTTATCAATTTTAATAGCATATAACTGATAGTAGATGGAGAAAATTTTTATAGCACCACGCCTAATTAATTAACCAGAAATTCGACTTTGTTAATAAATTAATTTTCCCGTTGTTTAATTACATCAATTTAACAAAATTTGTTTTTAATAAAAATAATAATAATAATAATAGTTATGAATGTTAACTAAAAACGGGTTTTTTTGAATGATTATTATTATTATTTAATAATTTAAAATTACTCGATGGATAAAAAACTTTTCCCTTTTTTTTCCAGATTCACGACTAAGAATTTGGAAAATTGTTTAAAACAAATGGAATTTTCCGAGATTTGTACAAAATTAAGGTTCAAACGTTTATTAACGTAAATTCAGGACGAGGTACGGAAAATTCACGTTTTATTAAACGTAACACAATAGATTTTTTTTTATTTGTTAATTACCTGTGAGAAATTACGATACGGTCCCCCCGTTTATTTCTGTTATGAGGATTTAAAAAAAAAGAAACTCGAGGAAAATTTCGCTTTTATTATTACGTAATAAATAAAACTTTCTCTACGGTCGAAAGTTTTTTTTTTTTTTTTTTTTATGTAGGTCTTTTAAAAAGAGGTATCCATCTTATCGTTTTTTTTTTTATTAAAATTGATAATAATTTTTTTTTTCAGGTACTAACTTAAGATTATTAATTATTGTTTTAGGTATTTTGGAGAAAAAAAAAAAAAAAATTTTTTTTTTTACTCCCCTCTCAAAACATCGGCGGGAATGAGCCTTTGAAAAATTTTTTTTTCTTCATCTTTTTTTTTTTCGGCGGCGCAAACGAGTGCAACGGAAACGGCAAACAAAATCAACATAGACTTCATTTTAAAATATCAGGTATGTTAAATAATAATTACCGAACTTTAAAAAAAAAAAAAAAAAAAAAAAAACCGTTAAAATTCAAAAGAGTTTTTCCTCTTCTTCTTTCGCGATAACGCACTTATCTGACACTCGATTTATTTGTCAGTGATGCATTTGCCATGTTGGACACCCATATTTAAAACTTTCCGGTTTGCCCCTTCCAAGTTTTCATTTTTTCCCCCCAAGGAGGTGAAATGTTCCTGTTAAGGTCGACCACTCTCTTACATCACATATAAAATAGGGTTCCCAAATGGAATTGTCTGAAATTTTCGTATGAAAAAAAGTGGCGGATTTATTTTTTTTAAAATGTTTTTTTTTTTTTTTTTTTTTTTTTAAAAATCCCCTTGACGGGTTCTGGCCAATTGAAAACAGTTAAAAAAAAAAAAAAAAGGGGGGGGGGATTATTCAAAAAAAAATTTTTTTTTTTTTTTTTTTCAAAAGCTTACTTGCCCTACACAACTTTTTTTTCCCCTACCATTTTTTTTTTTTTTTAATATCATTGTTATTATCATTGCAAATTGTGGGGAGGGGGAAGAAGAAAAACTAGTAGGTGGGGGGAAAGAGATGAAAAAAAAAAAAAAACTGGTTTGTCTTTTTTTTTCTTTCCAGTTTTTTTTTTTTTTTTTTCAAAAATATATATTTTTTTTCAATATGGCATCAACTTTTAGAGAGAAAAAAAAAATGGGGGATTCATTTTACGGTTGGCAGTCATCGAATTATTATTATTATTATTATTATTTTTCATTCGTGTGTTTATTTTTTTTTTTTTTTTGTCGTCCTTAACACTTTTACTCTCGGTGCGGAAAATCATAATTTTTTTATCCATTGAATTATATTTATTAGTTGTTGTAACGTTTTTTTTTTTTTTTTCTATTTACCTTCGAAATGAAATTTCTTCTGCTAAAAAAAATAAATAAATAAATAAAAAGATAGATAGGATCATTACAAAGTAATTAGTTAGATTTTCGAGTGAAAACCTTGGTGAACGTTTGTTGTTTGTTGTACGTGAGTCATTTTAACTGTAATAATAATTATGGTTAATACCCCCCCCGCCATTTTATATAATTTTTTTTTTTTTTTAAATAGAAATCAAATTTAACCCTTGTGGAAGAATATGAGAGGGGAAAGAAAAAAAGAAAAAAATTTCCAGGTCGACCAACCGTAAAACGCTGTAGGGCAAATTAAAGGAAAACTTTTCCAAATGTTGAATGGATGTTGTTGATAATTGTTTTAATAATTTTGGTGTTATATCGTTTGTTGTTTTTATCATTCCAAGCTTTGGATAATCAAAAACAAAATGGCGTCCCCCTCGTTATGTTGTTATTGTGTTTTTCGAATAGAATCCCAAACATAAATTTGTATATTTTTCCAAAAAAATTTAATTCGTTATCAGTTTCGAATCGAACTGGTCTTTGATAATTCATTCAAATGTTTTTGTGTGTGTGTGATAACGTAACATTTTTTATGTTTGTTTCGCCTACGCCCTCGTTTTAAGGCTCTCTTTTTTTTTTTTTTTTTTTATTACCTTGGCTTAAATCGAATTTGCCGCACTGATTTTTATTTATTTATTTAATCGTTTTATTAACGTATTTCGATTAATCGATTTTTGTTTTTCTAAAATTATTTCATTTTCCTATTCGAAAAAAAAAATAGAACAAGTTAAATACTTGGTTAGCTGACGTCCATTTAATAAGTTTTTTTTTTGTTGTTGTTTTTGTCGTGGCAGAAGAAAAGGGTAAATTAATGTTTAAATAAGTCGGAACTAAGTCTCGTTTAAAACTAAATTACCTTGTCCCAACCAATCCGGATTATCAAGATTTTCAATTCTTTCGTTTTAAATAAAAAAAAAAAAAAAATTCAATTCCAGAATTTCAATAAATAATAATTATTATTATTATTATGATAACGATTACATCGGAAAAAAAAAAAAAAAATTATAAGATTGTAAATGAAAATATGGCCGACTTTCGCGAGACGACAGTAATAAATTAAAATGGCGTGTGTGTGTGTGTGTTTTTGTTGTTATCACTTTGAGAGAAAAAAAAATTTGTCGTTTCATTTATTATTATTTTCACTTTTGATAACGGAATTTTTTCTAGAATTATTTTCGTTTGATTTACTTGGGGGGAGGGAGGAAAGGTTGGAAAGGTTTGAAAGGTTTCGTTTGTGGTACTGGCACCGTAAAATGGCATTTTGTAATTTTTTTTTTTTGTACAGTAGTTGTTAAATCGTTACGTAATAATAATAATATTAATGGAGATTTAACACAAAGAATGGGGGGGGGGAAAAAAGAGGAAATTTGTGAAATCTTTCAGGTTTCGCCATTTAATTTTTCCGTTTCATATTGTATTTATCAACATATGACGGTCGTTTCCGGTTAAATTTTATACACAAGTTCATTCACCATCAAAAAAAAAACCTCAATAAAAATCAGGTGATTTGTACATTGCGTTGGGACGATGGTTTAAATTTAAAAAATATTTGGAAAAAAAAAATAGACCGAGAAAAATTTCGTTGATTTTATTATTTTGCTATTCGTGTTTGGCCCCCCCCCTCCCCTCCCCTCTCCTCGCCGCCTCCCCGCTATTGTTTATGAAATGATTTTATAGATTAGGTACGAATCATCATCAGTTTATCGTAATATTTTCGGGGGGAGGTGCGGCGACGGAAGTCATATAAACGATGGAAAAAAACGTCGATTATTATTATTATTTATTTATTTATTTTCAATATGTTTCGTTTGAATGAGAGAGAGAGAGAGAGAGA